AATTTATTTGATCTAATATTTAAAAACTAAAAAAAATGTGTAAAGACAAATAAATGTGTTTATAGCATCACCCATTTTTTCATTCATTTTTAGATTTGATGTTAACATGATCAGGAGAACATTTCTCGATAGTATATATATATTAAAAAGAGAATATAAACTAAATATAAATATAGGTCAGTGTGTGGGGGATGGGGGTGACATAGAGAGATTGTAGTTGAAGAGAAATTTTTTATTGTGGTAAGACATAGATAGTACATTACGTGTTTTTTTAAAAGTGATGAAAAATTTTATTTTTTAAGTTATTAATTTTTTAATAATATATTATATTATTTAAATAATAATACATAATATATCATCCCGTATATCGATCACATTTAAAAATCTCTCATAATTATCTTGGGTCACTTTAGCATTTTGGGTAGGGGTCTGTCAGGTCTCTGTCAGTCATAAATAAGGGGGAAGCAAAGCAAAGTGCTCCTGCTCGAGAGAGAGAGAGAGAGAGAGATATAGTAGACAGAGAAATACCACGACCTCTTCGGCCCATGAGTAGTACACTACTGCTCTTCAGTTTTCAGTCTTCAGTCTGCCTGCTGCTGTCCGCGCTTTTCCTTCAGTCCTTCCCTCTCTCGAGCGGGAAAAATAAAAAATAATAATCCATTACACGCACAAACCGAAAGAAAAGTGAAAGCAGGAGAGAAAACAATATATCCAGCTTTCTCTCCTCTCTCTTCCTTTCTCTCTCTATCTCTATCCTCTAAAGCTATTGATTCTCTATAGCTTCTACCTACAACCCTTCTCCTCATTTCCCCTTCTTGTTCTCCTTCAAAGAACATCTTCTTCCAATCAAAACGACCATGGCTGTTGCGTTTGATGGCTTCTCCATCCGGTAAGCTTGCTTGCTACCTCAAATTTAGCAACTTTTCTTTGCTTTATTTTTTGCCGCTCTTAAAAATTTGTTCTTGTGTTTTTGTAGAGAATATGCGGCGAAGATGCGAACCGTGGACGTGCTGAAATGTTATCCCTTCGCGGTTGCGCACAACCACGACGACGAAGATACGAAGAAGAAAAAGGAAGCAGAAGCGGCGGCGTTGCTTCCTCCGATGACCGTGACCAAGTTCAACTGGTGGTCCCACGAGCTCCACCGCTTGAAAAGATCCAACAAAAACCAAGAGGTACTAACTCTTGTCAACAAAGAAAGCTCAGATATCCCCAGAAACGACATCAAATTCACTGCTGTCGAACAACGACTTGACGAGGTTGTTGCTGCTGATGGTGATGGTGCGGCTGAGAGCGAGGAGACCCTGAAATCGTCTGACGACGACTTATCGTCGTTGGTTTGTCCAGTTTGTAAAGATTTTGAGGCGGCTACCGTGAACGGTGTGAACGCCCATATCGATGGTTGTCTTGCGTCGAGGGAGGAGCGGAGGAGGCAGATGAGGAAGGCAAAATCGAAAGCTCCCAAGAAGAGATCTATTGCGGAAATATTCGCGGTGGCGCCGCAGATTCAAACGCATGAAAAAGATCTTTGTGAAAGAGATGACGTTGATGGAGATGATAATTGTAAGGTGTTGGGTGAGAGTGGCAGTGTTTTAAAGGCAACAAAGAAAGTAAAGAAAAGGAAAAAGGAAAAAAGGGTTATGTTATTGGAGGAGGAGAACAACAGCAACAAGTTCAAGAAGAAGAAGATTATTAAGATGATGAAGAATGATGGGTTAATTGCAAACAAGGTATGTGATCAACTTTCATACCACAAAATATTGATTAAACAGTTGGGTTGTGTGTGTGTTTTTATGATTATATAATAAGATTGTTGTTGAAGTTGATTACTGTAGTGTTAGTTTGATTACTTTGTGCATAAAATTATACTGGTAAAAAAGCTGGGAGAAAACTATGGAATTAGTTTGAGGGGAGCGAGTGCGTTTGTTGTGATTGTACCTTGTGTTTTATGTGTTCTTACGGGGTTATGGATTGTCCAAAAAAATTTATCGGGTTATGGAGGGGAGAGGGTGGTGATCCAGCTGTACGGTACGGATTCAGCAAAAAAGGGATTTTATAGGGTGGACGATTTTCTTTGTCCTTGGTTTAGCAAGTATATAATCCTAGCTACACTAATGATGATGTTCCCCCCCACACGCACAGACACACACTGTTTGAGTACTAATCTCTTTGGGAAGAAAATATGCTCCGATTTCGATCAGATTAGATTGACTGGATATTAGATTTAGAAAGAAGTGGGCGTCTGTATAATTATGTTGCTTATTAAAATGTGGTAATAATTTTTGAAAGCACTACTAGCTATATATCCACTTACGAAGTTTTACAAAGATGGTTGCTGATGAAATTAATAACTTTATACGTATGGTGAACGGGTTTCTGATCATCGGGAAATCATGTGATACGGATGGGCATGCAGTAGTACTGTTTTTTAATTTGTGTGATCTTGGTTGTTGCAAGAGATTGGCAGTGCATTATTTGTGTCTGTCCTTGATTAAATTTGGATCTTCTGATTGGCTTTGGGGATTAATTAGATATCCTTGACCTTGGAATATCTAGAATAATGGATCTTGTCTGCTTTTTGGTCTGATATGGTTTGGAAGACTATGAATGGCCAAGACTTGCTAGCTATATATCAGTACTGGGAAGTTAAGACTATTCGGGTCCACATGATCAACTTCTGAAACAAGAGATTTCAGTATATGTATCACTGTGTATATGTATGGTGTTTGAATGCTTGCAGCAGTTATGGAGGACTGTTTTGGGATCTTACTCCAGCTATTCAGTCGGGGTTTGGTCAAGCAATTATATGCTAGATCCATATGCTGGTTTGTAATTGGATCACATGCATTGAGGATATAATCGATCATACATTGAATCAGCGATCAAATGAGCAGTGGTATTTGATTCAATTTATCTGAATGTCGTAGATTAGTGGAATTATGAATGCTAGACTTGTATGCCTTCAGGATGGCATTTTATGTCTAGTGGTAGTGGGATATTTTAGAAATCGTTTGGAAGGATAATTCCATTAAGTGAAGGAAGAGCTTGGAGATAATGCATGCCTGGTGATTTTCATTCTTCTGTCATCATATCATCACAAGAATGTGAGTCGAAAGGTGAAACATCTTTATCGTATGGATGATATCTGGTCAAGTGGAGTTTATTCTGCACATGTTAGCTTTTTGGCTGGATATTGTGTCTTGAAATCATGGATTCAGTTAAGAAAGAGAGATTGAATGGGTGTTTGTCCTTGTATATCATGCCTTTAACTTGTTGGTCTGAACAATCTTTGTGGCATGGCTGATAGTTCAAAAAAATGATAGACATATTAAAGAATGATATTTCAGTACTACGCAAGGTTGGACTAATTATTCAAGGATAAAGACGATGGATTCCTTTCTGCAGAATAATAACTATCTAAGAATTCTAAAATTGAAGCAACAATGGTCACTTTGATCTTGCGGTCTGAAACAATCACACATGAAGTCTTACCTAGCTGTGCGATGTCATTGGTTCCTACAATCATTCTCTTACCCTAAATCCTTTAGTTAAACAGACTCTTTCAAGAGAAGCATGGAGAATCTGAGCCGATCTTTCATGAATGAGCTATGTTCATTAAAAGGTTTAATGTGAATGTTTCGATTGAGAGACAAATTGTTTGGACAAGAGCAATCTCGGGGAAGCTGTATTAGTTGCAATATGATCTAATAAGCTATAATAGATGTTTCTTGAATCAGCTAAATTGTTTGGACAAGATAGAGAGGTATATATGTGATCAGACAAGTTACAAGCCTTTGTTACGAAGTAGGATAAATTTCATCTTACTTGCAATGCAGCTAAATCCCGGGACTGCTTTATCTGGATGACTTCAATATTTCGGTAGAATGACTTCAAGTTGTAATCGGGTGATGGATCTATTTGATGGAAACTATCAATCGGCAGTTGAATATTAAAGTTTTTGGTCTGAGAGAGTAAGTATTAACTGTTGCTAAGCACAAACTTCGGCTGGGGTGTTTTATTTATCTTCTTCTTGTTATGGTATTGGCATTTATGCAAAAAGGATGCAAAAAGTGTTTTTCACATTACGCTAGTATATTTCTGCTGGAATTTCTTTTTTTTTTCTTTTCTTTTTTGACAGAAGGACATACTATTGGTCTATTCATCATAGATAGTACAATGGATTGTCGGAAAATCAATAGCTTTAAGTGAGCTTATGATTTGGCAGTCTAGAATACCTGTTGATTTAGAAATTCCCTTTGCACTTAAGAGTGCTTTTAATCCAATTAATACATACTGATATTGTAGCTAAATAAAATATTTTCTAATGCTTATTAACTATGATCAATACAAAGTTTTACTGAACCAACGATATAGATTTATGTAAATTTTCTTGTTTTGTTTTAAGAATTTGAATGCGACGGTGTAATGACTTTCTTGTATGAATCAGGACCATTCTTGCAAACTTAAATTGCAAAGTGCAGCCAATTATGCCAAAAAGCTGAATAAGAAGTTTGCACCGGATATTTGGGATTCTGCAAGGACACCAAATATCAAATGTTTATCTGCAAAGAAGCGAAAAGTCGTTCAAACATACAAATCGTTTCCAAAGCATAAAAAACCAGTGTTTGCCGTTCACAGCATTCTCAAGAATCATGATGTTTGTGGGCAGAACTCCACTTATTGCGGCATGCAAAGTGATAGTCAATCAAATCCTTGTGGTATTCAACATTCAGAAAGGCATGTTAAATTTTCTGGGACGGATCACAAACTTAGTCCGAGGAATAATGGATTGTCTTCCTTTGAGAATAATTCCAATTCCTTCGCTAGTTCATCTGAGAAGGACCAGTCTTCTGACAGTAATAAAGAAGCAGCCCCCATGGAGGTACACAGAAGAAAAAATGATGTTTCAATTGACACAGATATTGGAACTGAGTCTTGCAGTGTAATCAGAAGGAAGGAATTGCCTATAATTCCTGATCATGTCGATATTCCAAGTTTTCTGAGGCCACATATGACTCATCAAGAAAAAGTAAATCAAATGCCAGATAAATCTGTGCCTTCAAGTAGTTTTGCGGCTGAAGATAATAATTTGAGGATGTTCGACCAAGGCTACCTACCCCCCACACATAGACCTGCAGATTCTTGCTTTCCAAGACCGATATTTGCTCTAGAAGAATGCCGTGTAAGTACTAAAGGAGCTACTGTTTCCAGAGATTTTGAGCCCAGTGGAAAGATGATTGATCGTGTCGCACATCCTACGCATGGAGTATCTGCAATGAGTTCAAGGGAAAATACAGGAGCATTTCCCGTCCCTTCTTCATCTAGTTTCATTTTCAATGAGAAAGCAAAGGGGAGGTTTCCATTCCTGTCACAATCTGAAATCGATAAATTCAGCGATTGTGGTCTGCACTCCCAATTATTATGTCCACCCATGGACTTGACGGGTGGCTCATATCCCTTTCCGGAGTGGAAACAAAGAACAGTTACATATAGGGAAAGGTGTGCAGAAGAGGACTTTGTTGGCTTGCCTCTCAATTCACATGGTGAGCTAATCCAGTTGAGGAAGTCGAATGCTACACCAGGGTCCTCCAATGGCTTGCCTACACAGAATTTTACGCACTTGACAAGTATCAGTAGCTTACCGACACAGAATTTTACCCATGTAACAAATACAGGAGATTGTTCGACTGCATGCAACAAACATTTTTCGGAAAGAGAACTTCCAAATGATCAGTTGAACTTCTTTCCTATGCAGAATTGTGTTAAACAGAATCCTAGGTCACATATTCGAGATTTGTTTGGTGCTACTTACTTGCAAAGTACTCAAAGAGCAGATATACATCAGTTTGATTTTGAGAGCGGAAGCAGCCACTCTTTTCACCCTCTTGTTTCAGACCGGAACCTGATGAATGTCTCTATCAGTGGACGCGGACAATTTGACCAGGTGAAGAACCAAAAGATAGGTGGAATGATCTCTAAGGAAAATTCAGGCTACACACCATTGGGTGTGAATCAACCAACAATGCGGTTAATGGGAAAAGATGTGGCAATTGGTAAAAGTAGCAGAGAGATTCAAGGGTTTGAGGATGGAACATTGTGGACGGATAAGGAAATTATAGCAGAGCATTGTCCTTCAAGTACTGCCTTGGATACTCTGTCATTGAACAGGAATTTCCAGCATAACTGGTTTCCGTGCACAGCATCGGGGAAGTTGAAAGAACCTGCCGCACAGTCGTTTGAAATTCACAGAGAACATGCCCCGCAGCAAAATTTAATGATGAAAGCTCCAGAGTCCAGATTTCCCCACGCTTACCGCAACTGGCAAAGCCATTCCATGTTTGAAAATGGCTGCCTTACCGCCAACAGAAGTCCAAGTTCTAATTTGATCCGTTTTGCTCAGATGCCCACTTCACCTGCAATGTTTAATGGGGCACCTAAATTCCGAGAGCAATTCATGTCTGGAGCTGAATCTCTACAATCCCTACAGTTTGGCTCTCAACTACCGATATTATCTGCTCCTCCTAGTACCTGTGGGCATGGGGTTTTAAGACCTGCTGAACTCAATTACAAGCAGAATCCACCGCATTTTGCAAAATCATCATTCGGCTTCCCTTTCCTGAATCCTGAATGTAGAGACAATAATGTGGAGTCATCATGGTTTCAGAGCTCCTCTATGGGCATGCCCCCTTGGTTGTTACATGCAACACTGCAGGTAAACCCCCCAAATGCAGCTTCTCAATCCTTTCCAAATGTGGATAGCAGACACCATCAGCATATTATGCCGAGAGCTAACTTTTTTAACGAGCATCATTCATCGGAAATTTCTTATCCTTGCAATTTCATGACCTCTCATTCACAAGTGAGGGAGAATGTACCTACTCAGGCGACTACAGTTATGCCTCCTCTTGCTCTAGCTGTTCAAGGAGTAAATCTACAACCAACATCTGGCACCGACATGGACAGAAACAGAATCAAGATCAAAGACAGATTAAAAACAAAATCTTTCAGTATCAAAGACCCATATCCCTTCAAAAAAACCAAGAGACTAGCAGTGAAAGCTGTAGATTCAACAAAGGCTGCCAACATGTTGCGCTTAGAAACACAAGAAAAGTTGAGTGCAGCTGCAGGATCGTCAAGAGGGAACATTTTAGATGAAATGCAGTCTAATTTGAGAGCACTTGACCTCGACTCCAGTTGGAAGAAAGCAAGCGATTTGGATTGCAGCCAACACGACGTTCAAGAGGATGGATTCAAAACCTTTGGAGTTGAGTCTTCCAAAATGGACAGCGTTGTGAGAACTACAGGCCCCATTAAACTTTGTGCAGGAGCAAAACACATCATAAAACCGACTCCAAATGTGGATCAGGATAACTCCAGGTCAATCCGTTCAACAATCCCCTTTGTTGCAGTAACTAATGGTTTCAGAGAACCACAACCTCAGAAGAAAACAACAAAGATTTACAGGTTTTAGAAGTAAGTCTTCTTAAATGGATATATGTTCCTTTCCGCCGCATCATTTTTTGTTTTTTGGTGTCAGATGCTTATAAACATCACATTTTGTGAATGCCACAGGTTCACTGCTTAGGCCAGGGTACAAGAATGTTCATGCATGAATGCCAGAAGCAGCATTGTTCATAGGATTTCAGGTTGTTGCGCTTGCAGTAACACTTGCCAAATTAACTGTTGAAAACTTATGTATTTTCACATCTATTTCTTAAGCCATGTTACGATCTCCACATTGCCGGATCTGTAAAATATGACATTTTAGCTTATATGCTTTATCTTACAATTTTATTATTATTTTTTTTGTTTTTGCCGGCCGAAGTTAAGATTCTTGTTTTCTTGAGTATAAGGGTAGTGTTATTGGCACTTCAAAAATCTCATTCTACACTCATCACAAGTTTGGAGTGTAAAATGAGATTTTTAGAGTGCTAATAATAATTTCCTATGTAATTTTCGAAGTGCGAAAATTCTAGTCCCTCCATGAGCAGGAAAATTTTTGGCCTTTTTTAAAAATATTTTTTTTCCAAGATTTTGGTATACTGCAATAGAAATTTCACTTTTGCTGTATTTCTTCAAAGTACATTTATCGACATGCATTTTCTCCAATACTTGAGAGAAAATAAAGCATATATAAGCTTCTAATTACATTGATCATGAAAGAAAGTTACAAAGACTAGAATGCACATCTCTTCTATATGTTTGTAGCTACATAATTGCTGCATCGATCAGTATCTCCTAGCTTCTTTTTCAGCCTGCGTATTTGATCACAGATTCATTAGTGAACTTAATCTTTCTTAGAAAGAGATCAATAGATATTAATTCTTTGATGATGATCGTAATCAGTGTTTGTGCATACCGCTTTGACGACTCTTTCGAAAGCATCATCTCCATATTGATTGATGAAGCGTTCGACGGACTTCCTTGCGTCGAGGCTCATCATTTGCAGGACCTTCTTCTGACCCGCTGTATAGTTTGAGCTCGTCGTATCCATTCCAAGCTTTACATACTTCCTCACAACGTTCTCATAAATATAGGCTGCCCCATTGAAAATTGGCAACACCAACCAAATGCAAAATAACAGCTTCGTATACGGCCATATTGGAATCCTATACATGCCAATTTCCAAATAGATAGATAGTTTAATCAATAGTTGCATGGATAGTTATTAGAAAACTGTATATATCAAAATAAAGAGAAATGATTTCCAGATTCTATTTTTCTAACAGTTGGAATGAATAAATACAAGCAGAATCAAGAGACAAAAACAAAGAGATCGATGAGTGAAGAAAGTGAAAATGAGAATGTGGAAATTATCTCCCTAAAATAAATGTGCATGCGCGCAGTATTTTGTTGACATACCAAGCTAGGACTTTCCAGCAGGACAGTTCGAATAAGGTTATGAAAGAGTATATAACCCAATATGTTAGCCACTGTTGATCGTCGAGTGCTGAAGGGCTCTCGATTGCTCTCATTGATGCATACCTGTTCATGCATGATCACCAAATGGAACTAATAAATATATCAATAAATTAGTCAATTTCTAGCTGATTATTGCCCTTTTTCGTCGATTATTAAGAATTTACTTACAATGGATAAAGAAGCATAAGGCCTGGCCTGCAAGAAGATCAAAAGAAAAATTCTCAAGATTAATCGGTACGTAGAAATGAAATATCAATTAGTAAGCTCCGGTTATGATATAATAAAATACACATATGTATATATGTTCGTTAATGCATGTTATTATTCATATTTCTTGGATATATTTAAAAAAATTACCCATAATATTAACAATATTGGAAGCTTGAAACCTTCAACTATATATTTAATTAAGATCGTGAAAACTTGAAGGTCAAATAACTGTATAAAGTTTATAGATTCAAAAAGCTGATATATATTTCAGATCATCTTACTTATTGTAGCAATCACACGAATATATGTGTTGTCTAAGGCTTTAATGTGACATGAATATAACCAAATACATTTCATGCATATACATATATATTGTACGTTTTTTATACTCTTTTTTTTTACTGATACATACGGTACTATTTTTGTAAAATATCTCTGCAAATATATACACACATACCAAATCAAGATTAACATATAAAGATGAAGTCATGTGTGCTTAATTACTTATTTATTCATGAAATGGAAGTTGACATTTTTCAGATGAAGACACCATCCATATAAACTTTTTCCGCACTTTTTGTAATAGACATGCTTGTCACATTAGTATCAATGCATGGAGGATATGATAAAGCAATTATTAAAAAAATAATAAGAATAAAAACAGATGATGATATTTTAGGTGGGTCTTTTGCTAAATACCCGATTATTGTATCCAAATTTTTAGCAATGGCTCCAAGAACACCCATGCTGAAACACTATAATTTGATCTGGTCCGGCCGCGCACTCGTTTCTTCTTAAAAATTAATCCTGAAATATATGAACAATAATTTCCTGAGAAAATGAGTCGATGATGGGAAGTACAAGTAAGTCGTGTATTTAAAGGTCCGTGGATTGTTGAGGTTGATTTGATGAAGCCAAGTAAAGAATTTTTGCCCCATCAAAGGGTTTTCTTTTGGTGATCTCAATGGCATTGGCATATATACCTTAGCTAGCTTTTCTTTCTCTTTAACTTTTCTCCTTTTTCAAAGCTACTTTTACGTGCGTTAGCATCTTATAACATACACATTTCAGTTTTTATTTATTATATATGCATAACATACATATTAATTGGTTATTAAAAAAAGGATAATAATTATAAAGATTGGTGTTTATTAATTAGTGATGCACTCATAAATTAAAGGCTTTGAAAGACCAAGAAGACCCCAATAATCACAAGCTTCATGCTGCAAACTCATGAACTTGTATTGATTCCTCTAATGTTCAATACGCTGCATGCTTATTATATGCATGTTAAGGTTAATAGCTATATGGATTTAATTAGTACAATAAAATGCGTGCTATTAAAAATAAGACCCAAAACACATACTCAATTGATGAAGAAATTTGCATGTAAATGCGTATCTTTTAATTAAAGAACATGTGTTTTTTTTTTTTTTTTTTTTTTTTTTTTTTTTTTTTATCACGATCATATTCAGTCTCGCATACTCATTAGGTGAATAGTTAATGTGAGAAAACAAGTAAACACATTGCATCTGAATCTCTCTTACTCGGTTACATATGATTTATATTTACTTTTGAAAGAAATAAATAATGAAAAAAATGGGATTAAAAAGTTAATAAAAAGGAAAGAGAATTGTTATTGACATTCCAAATTTCAAACATTCTACATTCCAAACTTTCTATATTTAGAAAGAAAAATAGAATATAGAATAAGATTTTTAAAATGTCAGTAACACCTCCAAAAGAAAAAAGCAAAAGAAATTAGAGCAAGCAAACCCTAAAGGTGGAGTGTAGGTAATAAAAAGCGACAAGGCATGTGATGGACAAGCAAGTAGGGCAGGGAACAACAACGACAACATATTATTTTGTGGTACAAAAACAGTAGCCTTCCTTAATAATTCCAAAAGCTTTGATCATTACACGTACTTTGTCCATTAACTTTAAGGGGTGAATTGTCTGCCTTCTTATTTCTATGCTCTTTTCATATCTTCCTGTAATATGTGGTCACGGTTAAATCACGTTACTATTTTATATTAATTTTTTATATAAATAATAAAATAAAAGGTAATAGGAATATAATCTACCTCATTAACCGTAACTACACAAACAGAAGGGTATGGAAAGAGTATAGAAATGGAAGGGTAGACAATCCACCTCCTTAACTTTAACTTGATGTAACCCCAACATGTTATGTTAAGTAAGACCTAAATTAGATCCAAGGTTATGTTATGTAAGCCCTAAATTAGATCAAATTATATACGTTGAAGAATGTTAGCTATCTTTTTCATTTGTTTTTTTTTTTTTTTTTGGCTTTTTCACTTATTTTTTAAACAATATATTGTTTGTTTGCTTACCATCATTCATATGGTGGCTATATGTAAAAAAATATCTATTCATTACACTGTAGACAAATAGAGACGCTTAGATAATAGTTACGTTACTCTTGCTGGGTTGAACCCACTTACTTATAATTCTGTTAACTAGTGCACTCCTACTTGAAAGCTATAAAGGGAGATTACGGGCTGACAAGTATTTAAAAGAAAAAAAAGTTTTTGAAATGAGTTGAAAAGCGGAGCAAATGGAGGAGGAGTTGGCTTGTTTGTTGCATAGAGCACACATTAAACTAGAAAGTTAATATTCTAAACTACAGTTTCTTCCCTTTATACCCTAAAAGTTAATTTAAAAATTTTAAAATATAATAAAATTCTAATCTCCTCTCTTCCCAACCTTTCTTCTTCCTGACGCAAAAATAAAAAATTACCTTTCCTCTCCGTTTTCCTCCCCTTGTTGCTACCCTGGCAACGAGATTGCCTCCACAGCTGAACCCCACAACCACCGGGGTCCTCTCTCTCCTCACCAACTGCTCCTCCGCTGCTTACATCCTCCAAATCCAAACCCAACTCATTCTCCTGAACCTCCACTCAGGCACCACCTTCGACTCTCCTTCATCACCGCCTGCCAGTCCCTCCGCCTCTTAGACAGCTCGCCGCCCACTTCGTAACCCTAATCCCTAAACCCCATGTTTTCACCTCAAACAATCGTTACTTCAAACATGCATGCATACACATATTCGTCGATTGGGCCATCTGTATGATATTTACGTGTTGAACCTGTATGCGCCGTCCATTAGTCATGTTCGAAATTGTGTTTTGTTTGGGTTTTCGGAATTTGGGTGTTGAGCCATGGAGGCTGCTCGGGGAGAAAAACGGAGGGCCGGAGAGGAAAGGTTGGGGAAGCGGGAAAGAGCGAGAGAAATGGTTGGTGGGCCTCAATTTTTAATATTTTATTATTTTTTAAATTAACTATAACGGGGCGTTTGTTTGCCCTCACTAAGTTGGACTGGACTAGCTATTAGTCCAATACTGTGTTTGTTTCATGCTGGGACTAACATTAATGAGACTAAAGGGGATTAGCATGGACAAAACCCTTCACTAAGAGGTCTTAGCGAAACCCCCCAATAACCATGGGACTAGCTAAGACTATCCTCTTTTTCTCGTCCTCGTCATGCTCAACGACCACTCCCGACAGACTCCTCGTCATCTCCGGTCACCTAGATCAATCATTAACTTTCCGACTCTTTCAGATCCATTTCAGAACCAACTTTCATATAAAATATACCAAATTGAAGCTAGGAGTAACAAGATTACAATTTTGCCTGAATCGAGGCTAAAATGTGGTCGAATGTGGCCGGAAAATGGCCTGGAAGTCTCGGCCTGTTTGGGCTTCTTCAAATCCATGACAGATTCGAGCATTCAAAGCTAAGATCTCGGTCCAGGGATGGTGATGAATTTTTTGGCGGTGTTAACTTTATCCAATTTAACGAGGGTTGGCCGGAAAACACATCGGGAAACCTGCAACTCATCGGGAAAATTGAAGCCGTGAGGTTCCGTTCGAACAACGCATAGCTAGAGAGGGAGGGAGGACAGAGAAATAGAGACTGGAATCAATAAGAGTTTGACCAGAAATGAGAAAGAGACATGAATTGAGAGGTCTAAGAGGAAAAAAAGAGGGAGAGGGTGGGACGATGAGAGAAGAGGAAAAGAGTGGGACGGAAATGGTAGGAAAAGATGGAGAAAAAGATAAGATCATAATAAAATATTAATAATTTATATATTAAATAATATAATATTAGAATTTGTTATTATCTAGCTTCTTAGTCCAATACTGCACCAAACGCTTCACTAAGTTAGTCCAGTTTAGTCTAGTCTAAGCCAGTCTAGCTTAGTCCTTGAAGCTAATCCAGTCCGAGATAGTCCGACGCAACAAACGCTCCCTAAGGGTATTGAGGGAAAAATAGAAAATATAATTTCAGAACATTAATTTTTTAGTTCAATATATAAGTGTATTCCACATGTCAAAAGATGAATGTGGAAGACACAAAAGAAACGGTAAATGGGGAGGGATGAGGATCCTCTCCTGAGCTCATGATGAGAATCCTCATGACCACAAAATTCAGACCGTTCAATTTTAATCCAACGGCTCTAAACAGGGGGTCCCCTAAAAAGTTATAATAATTGCAACCGTTGGATTAAAATTGAACGGCCCGAATTTCGTGATCAGGAGGATCCCCATCCTATGCTCAGGAAAGGATCCTCTTCCAACGGGGAGGTAGCTAGAATTCCTTATTATATACGTATCATATTGCACTTTTAGTGCATGGCAGCCACTTTATGGCCTGGTTTAGCATTGAGATGATTAAAAAAAAAGCATGGATGAAAAAAAATTGGAGTAAAATTTGTGTTTGGTAACTCTGCTTATTTTCAAAGTTACTGTCATTTTAAGCTGAAAAGTGGCAAAAAACTGAAGTAGCAAAATGCTACGTTTTTTTTTTTCAAGAGTCAGGTGAACAGTAGTATTTAATGAAACTTTCACAATCTAAAAAATACCCTCCTCCGTTTCTCCTTCTTACTAGGTTGAAGATCGAATCTTCATAGCTGATATTCTTATTTCGCCGGATATGTAGAGGAGGGAGGGGTAATGCGATCCAAGAGGTGGGTTTTTTTGGTGTTTGGGGACTGAGAAATCTGAGAGAGGGGGGAAATGGGCAGATGGGAGATGACTGATTTTGTCCTAATTCTTGCCTTCTGTGGTGTGGTGTGGATTGGAGTGGGCATTTAGGTTTTCCTCGCTTGCACATCGTCCATCAGCGATAACTGGCTTCAAGTTACATGATTCGAGATGATTTTGTGCCAGGACGGGTTTGAAGCCAGAGTTGTTGAAGGTTGTTGTTGGCGAACACCGGATCTAAAACTCATTCGGTGCTACATCTGACATTAAAACGACACTCCGACATCTGGAATTGAAGCTGCGTGGTTGTGGATCCACTACTATGGTGGTTGTGTAGTTAGAGAGAGATGAGAAGCAGATGAGTGGTTGGAGAAAGAGATGAGAAACAGACGGAGAAAAGAGATAGGGAAGAATGAAAAAGGAAATTTGGGAATGGGGAAGATGAGTATCAAACTCAATGCAAGGAGGGGAAAAATAGAATTGGGGGAGGGAAAAGAAGACACGGGGATAAGGGAAATGGGGTGTGGGCCCCATGGCCACACAAAATCCTCACATAAAAATAGTAATATTAAATAAAATATCATAATAATAATATAGTATTATACCTTTGCCGGTCATTTCACATAATCACAGTTGTTTTACATAAAAGTTTACCAAACACTATCATATTGCTTTTTTTTTTTTTCCAAAAGATAACTCTTTTTGTAACTTGTAAGTAGAATGTATATATACAACATACAAGTTACAACGAATCAATTATAAAATGACACATACAGAAGCGGAGCTAGAATTTAATGTATGAGGAGGTTGGGAAAAAAAAAAAAAAGTGAATGTAAAGAAAGGTTTCAAT